AAACATCTACATCAACAGTTGTTGAGGCTGGGATAAACACCTGTCCTTTCACACGTATAAGATGTGTTCTTTCTTCTGTGTCATTTGGTGTGGATTGAAACGTTGGCAAATGTTTCAAGACATTCATTCCTATTAACAGATCTGGATATGATCCGGATTCTTCGTGTACTAGAATTCCACAGTCCTTTATGGTGATATCTTGTATTATTATATCTTCTATGAGGAGACCTTTGTATGGTATTTTGAGATTATTAGCTGCTTTGAGGTCAAGAAGTTGAAATGGTTGTAGTTCTTTGACAAATTGATTTTCATAAAATTCCTTTGACATAAGCGTAACACTGCTCCCAGAGTCCATTATTCCTGTAGTTTCAATATCTCCAATTTTGATATCCCATTTCTGCGTTTCACCAACAATTTTCTCCATGTTTGGATGACAAGATATACAAGTTGTATCTGTTGTCAGATTGACATTTGTTATGACTTCATTTGGTTTGCTATCTGAGTTTTTAGGGTCATTTACTTGTACACTATGATTATCATATCGTTCATTGCTGTTGTAGTAGTTTGATGGTCTTCTGGAGTAATTGTTTCCTCTTGATCTTCCTCTTCCTCGGTAGTTGTTTTGACCTCTGTTGAAACGGTTGTTGAATTGTCCTCTGCCATAACTGTTGAAATTCTGTTGTGGGTTGTTTTTCATTTCCTTTATTTCATTCAGTTCATTCTCCATTTTGTTTTGTTTTTCTAGTAAGGTCTTCATCATACTGTGTAGTGTGTTGTTACTATCTACTGTGTTTGCTGTAGTCTTTTTTGTTTCCATGGAGTCACTCTGCTTTTCGTTTAGTTCGTATTGAAAGGCTGTTTCTCTCAATGTGTGGAATGTAGTTGAACTGTTATAGTCTGAGATTCCTCTTAATTCCCATCTCATTTTAGGACAGCATACACCTTCTATTAGTTGCTCTTTTAACAGCTTGTCTTCATCAACCTTTTCATCTTGATTTTGTTTCACAATATCCATTAACTTCATTAAGGCTTGGGTATATTGAGCTATTGTCTCATTTGGATGCTGCTTTCTAGTATAGAATTCGGTCATTGATTTATGAGAAGACTTGTGTATTCCGAAAACTCGTTGTAGTGTTTTAAATATCTCAGTAGGTGTTGGGTTTGTCAGGTATCTCGCTTCTCTTCTAGGATTTGGACCTAGATGATATACAACAAAGTCTACTTTCTCCGAGTTATTTTTCAAATCTCGTATGGCCATTGTAGCATCCTCAATCCAGTCATAGATATCCTCATCTTTGTTTCCCATGAATTTATTCAATTTCGGTTTCTTCGATATATACTGCGTATTCTTTGAACTAGTTTCTGATGTACTACTAGCGCTTTGAGTGTCAGCTAAAGTTTTTCTATCTGGTATTTCTTCATCCAAGTACTTCTTTTTGAGGATCGCCAACTCTTTTTCCATATTTATCATTCTGAGAAGTTCTCTTCTTTTTACTCTCTCTTCTTTATCGAGGGTTTCTGCCATTTCATCTATCGCTCGTTCAGCTTCAGATTTATGATCCTTTGTAGTTGTTTTTTTCTTTGTCGGGTCCTCTTGGCGCAATGTTTCAGCCATTTCATCTATTATACGTTCTGCTTCAGCTTTAATATCGCTTGGTTTTACTCCATCTTGTGCTTCAGCCATTTTGAAATACTAACGTAAAATAGTCACTTAAAATAGTCGCGTAAAATATTCACTCTGATTCCGCACGCGCCGAAAATAATATCCGAATGTTTAAAAGACAAAGTAAAAAAAACATTCAAATTTTTAAAAGACAAAGTAGTGGAAAATATTTACAAAGTTCTTCTAGTGAAGGCTACACATGTAGTAATTAATATAAAGTACCAAGTATTACTGACATATACTGGTTATCAGATGGTCACCTCGTATTAAATGTAAAATAGATGTCTCTATATAGATGACATGTACGCAATACGTTCACTACCCTTGTATCATATGTAAAATATTGTATTCAGCAACTCTGCAGTTATCAATATGTATATTCATTTAATAACCTATCTGAAGTGTTTTGTATATATACTTTGGGTTTATATCCCTACAATTACTAATTGTTGTGGTTGCTCTGTATATAAACAGTCCTTCATGTAATGATAAAGGTGTACACCAACTGTTCACTGTCCCTGTTTTAGTACAGGTAAGTCACATCAACTCAAAATGTTATTTGCTATGCAAGTGTCTCTATAGATGGAGTTCCAGGTAAATGATAATGCTTAATGTTCATAAAGATGGCGCACTAGGTATAGTATCACTCAAAGTTCAAGAAAGCGCTCAATTATGTGATAGCTTAATGTTCATAAAGATGGCGCTCTATTATAGTGATAATTCAATGTTCATATAGATGGCGCTCTATTAAAGTGATAATTCAATGTTCATATAGATGGCGCTCTATTATAATGATAATTCAATGTTCATATAGATGGCGCTCTATTATACTGCTTAATGTTTCCTATAGATGGCGCTCTGTTATCATACATGTAACTCTCATACCTTTTCGGGAACTCATCTAGGTAATCAGGCGGCAACTGGTCCACTGGAACTGGTCACTCTTGCTAACTAAGCATGAAGTACTAGTTGACTAAACTACTAACTACCTTATCATGGGCTTAGGGCTACTAGTGGAGTAAGTCATGAGATAAAATTCATGGATTCCTTAAATTTATTTCCAATGGACATCCATGGTAAAATTTACAAAGGGAAATAATTGTAAAGAACACCCGTTGTAAAATTTGCAAAGGGAAGTACCCGCAGTACCATTTGTGAGGGACGTTTTGTCCAAAATAAATAAACAAGAGAAATTTATAAAATATTTTATATTATATCATGTATTATATCAGTCAACTTCCTTATTGATCATGTATATGTTGCACAACTACCTTAACACAACTGCTGTTGTTGTACAACTACCTTAAAAGACAAATCACAAAAGAGTGACAACTACCTTAATCCATGAAAGTGTAGAAATACCTTAATCCATGAAAGTGTGGAACTACCTTAATTCATAAAATGTAAAACATTACAAAAGAGTGACAACTACCTTAATATATAAATTAGCCTACAAAAGAGTGACCAGTCTGCCAGTGCAGAACTGTAGGTGGAATGCCTAAAAATATAAAATTCACACCATAAGTTGATATGTAGCAATAAAGTAAAATGTCATTAAAATGCAGATTAATGTTTAATGTTTTAATTGATAAAACCATATTTGTGATGGGGATTAAGTAATATATGAATGAATCTTTATTTCCCCACACAATGCCTGAAGCATTATATAAACATCAAAACACATGAAGCATGACTTGTTCAATATGGTCAATAGGGTCAAGTTGACCTTACAAAATGTCGTATTGACCTTACACATACTACAAATATAAATCAAATAACAAGAGTGGAATTTTACCTGACAATAAAGCTACTTGGGCTGTGAGTGTGGGCATATGGTAAAGTAAGTCAGCTAGGGAACTAACCTAAAAATGTACATTTGAACCTAAGTGAAAATGTAAACAAAGGAATGAAATCCAATATGGCTGATGTTGAAATTTGCAAAATATCTTGAGTCTTTCCTTAAACTCCTAATAAGTTCAAAATTACAAACGGTATATAAAAAATACCTATTTCAACATAGAGATTATATATTAATCTTTAAAACTAACTATATGAATAATATACTGAGACAATATAACTTGTTTAGAAATTGGTCAAAGTATGGAAAAATATTTACCACATCCAGAAGATTCAAAAGCAGGCCCAACACTAAAGTATATGATCATGTGACCTAGATCATGTGATACAGTAGTTACTAAACCTTTTTAAAGGTGGCATATCAGTACAGTCTCAGTATGTGCTGTGTTGAGAAGTAGTATACATTGGGTAGGAATAATCAGTTGTACCAACAATATTTAAAAGTATATTTATAAAAGTGCATGTCACATTAATATGCATCATGTTACCCAAATATCCACGAAAATACATGTATTGTCCTTACATGAAACATTTGAGTTGATCACTGAGGTAAATTGTATTGAAAAAGTTTGTGTTCACAGAGACATATAATCCAATTTTCTTATAGCCAGACTGATATGAGACTTATTGTATATGTTTGCAATTAAAGTATCTCATATATATTAGGTCGCAATTTGAGTGTTCTTAAATGGTCAATGGAGCTCATAAAAGTTCGAGGTCAATATGGTCTAAAATACATATATCTAAAATGCAATGTTATTAATATTTCATTCTTTTGGCATTCCTGAATTCCTAAGAACACTGTGAAGAAGATGTATATGGTGGTCATGCTCAACTAAGGTCATGTCTATATTGATGTCATAGTAGGTCAATGTTATATGTAAATGTCAAGGTCATCTTAAAGGTCACAATTTAGCTATCAAAAGTCCTAGTATAAGTATTTCACTATTCTAAGAAGGTTCATGCAGGTTTAGCTACAGTAGGTCATTTCATAATGAAAGGTTGAGGTCACCTGGTAGATCCATAGGCCCTGAGGGAAAGGTATTGGCAAGCTGAATCTAAAATTTACTGTAGATACAGTATTTGCATTTGTGGGCAAAGTTAAAAGTGTGTCACTTACGGCGGTTGGCAGTAACCAATCAAATCACTTGCCTCCACATTTAGAATGGGCGTGTCCTTCAGCAGCTAGAGATGTTAAAGTATTCATTTTTGTTATTAAAGTGTTCCGATAAGCTTCCCGTATAAAAAAAACAATATGTTATCCCTTTTATAAATGTGTTACGATCAATAATATACTTATTATATGCTACAGTTAGAGGTGTTGACACAACGACCTCGAGCCTGTGAACCCTTGAGTATAATTTCGGGATCGGGCCTTTTATACTAAATGGTGAGCAACATCAGAAACAGCGTTCGATTTGCTAAACGATATGCGTCACCCTTTAAGATCTAAAATTGTGGTACAAGTACTGTATATAAAGCATTAACTCATGACAACTAGATATTTTTAGACTTATTCTGACCCGGGATTCGGACAGAGAGTTAATATATGTATTCATATCTTTCAAATTACATTTTAAAATGATTATGCTTTCGCTATCTAGTTATTTTTTCACCACGTAAATCTGTATATTGTATCTAACCAGTAAACAATATTGTTACTGTTGAAGTGAATGATGACGCGTGTGTATCTACACCCATCAGTGTCCCACGCCCATATTTGTTGGAAAATACTTCCATTCCAAAGTGGGAAAACCCATTCCCAGCGTAATATGGCCACAATGCTCGTCCTTCTATGATATCCGGCTCTTCCACGAAGCCACATTCACTGTTAGGTATGAAGTAATTGATTAGATAAAGGCCTTCATCTTTTTGAATTGTTCCATTCCATTTTCCTACAATGATCATGATGAGCAATGAGATTTATTAATATTTTAGAGAAAAGATCATTGCTATAATATGCAAATAAGGTATTGGTTGTATTTTTATATGCCCAGAAATGCCAGTTTGTTATTTAAATTGCTCAATTTATGTGGGGAGGCTCATGGGTTCCAACATTGTAGGTCCCACTCGGCTCCCTGTCCCCGCCACTGTTGATGATGGCCTTACCTTTTAATGTGATGGGTCTTTTGGCTTTTGCCATAAATCCAATTTCTCTAAGATAGGTGTTCTTGTAATATTTCACACGACGGTATGGCATTGTTTCCGTCAATGCTCTAAGTTTAAATTTAAAGGTAAACGCGAAGCACGTATAATCTCCCAAATCTACAGGTTGACCTTGGTACAACTGCTCATCTGTCAAACTGTTCAAATCAATTCCAAACTCTTTGAGGTACTTGACAAAGTCTCTTCCTAAAATTAAGAAAGTCATGCAAGAATAAAAAATGACTGTATTGGAGTGGGTATTGGTGTCGTACCTAGGCCAGAGAATCAGGGAGACTAGGCAATGACAAGTATTGAGGCATGGAACTTATAGGCTTCTCTTTTAGGATTTCATGATTAACAGTATTGTGACATTCTGTGGTATTCTCCCGAGGCACTGCTTGATAAAAGTATGCAAAGAGAATAGAAGTTCTCATTTAAGGATCCCTGCCTAGTTAAAGACATATCAATGCACTGAGAACAACAAATATAGCTAATAGACTGCGGACTATTCTGTAGAAGTGCTCTAGAAATGAATCTCGCTTTTCATGGAAGGTCACACATTCCAACATATTTCAAACAATTTGTATGATTGTAATAGACACTTTCTGGGTAGTTGGACTTTATGTAGGGGTGGCAGAAGGCCCTCAGGCCAATTTATACCCCTACCCCAACAAAACCTTGGGGGTACTTTAATGCCACCCAATAAAAATAATACTAATGCATATCAGATATTCATCGTTTTATAGTGGGTAGGGCATGCCATGGTTAGTCAGTGCTAGAAATTTCCAATCTCTGACTTATATGGTTACCATGGAAACAGTATTTATATCTCACAATCTTCTCAATTTGACCCCGTCCCAAATTTGTCCTTAAGTTCTCAAAGTGAAATATTTGCAAATCTGTTTGGATTTTGTGGCTGCAACTTTGTCAAAAGTTGAATTAATATGTATGTATTCACACTAAAGCACTAAAAACTTGATATAATGATCTCATAAATTAATAATATTTATCAAATGTAGTCACACACAACTGCTTTTAGGGAAAAGTGGGCGTGGCACTTTTTGGTACTTGTGTAATTGTTGCAGCATTAAATGAAAAATACTTATTACACTAACAACAATTGACATTTAATTAGCATCTACTAACATTGTGTAACATTGTAGTATGTTCATTATCATTATTAGATACTTTAAATATTTTATATAAGTGTTATCATGATCCTTCCCTATCATAGGTCATTAATGGTCAAATTAACTTTTAAGTCCTAGAGGTCCTTAGTCTTTTTAGCTTGTCAAAGTCGTATTAATTGACTTGAAGCTAGAATATAAATAGTTTCATTGATCAAGAGCTATGAGTTAAAATTGATTAATACATTTGTCAGGGTTAGAGCCATTTTATGCAATTGAAAAGTAATGGACCGACACTGATCAGTACCAAGTGAAGGTAACGGCCGTAACCTTCGCATCTAAGATGGCGGACAGTAATTGTCGATTTTGATATTTTTAATTTTCATTGAATTAAACTACTTTAGAGTTGATGTTATGCTTTGACATTTGCACCAAATCAGGCTTAAATGACATTGGAACCATAGATGTAGTAAACATGAATAAACGATATGTGAAATGTTATGCCCTGCCTTAATACATAACTAAGATTTTCTCGGATAAATGGTGTCTTACAATTGACTAACTGATTCTATTATCAACATCAGGTAATGCATGATCTATCCAATGGATTAACGAAAATACTTGATTCCAATATGGCAAAATAAATTATTCCATGTATGAATTGCATAGTGCATCATTTTGCAGATATTACATAATGCATTCATTGACTCATGGTCAACAAGGTACGGGTAAAACTCCTTTTAGTATTTCACAAAATAATGAAATATAAACAATTTACACATTTCTGAAATGCTGTACCTTTAGTGATTCCTTCGACCTGGAAAGTGGTTTGTTATGTTAAAACTTAAAATAATATCTAAACAAATCTGTTTAGTGTATAAAAACAATAAAAGTTAATGTTTAATATCAAATATTATTAGACATATGAATATAACCTAAAATAAGAAATCTTGTTCTCGTATTCCATTTTAAAATTGGTTGAATGATTTTGGCACAGTAGAAATGATGGTCATGATTAAATATTATATGTAATATGCCCTGATGCTGTAACATCAATGGTCCTTTATAAACAGGTATGACTGAAATACTGGACAAGATCTTATAAGGTTACAGTTTCCATATAACGTATGTTCCATATTACTACCCCAAATCTCCATTGTGTAAGTTTATGAGTCATTATCCCTCATAGTTTATTATGGCAAATGCCTATCCTTGTCTAGAATATGTCATTTTATCAATTTTATAAACAAGTATACAATTACACGCCCCCCCCCCCCTCCCACACCAAAACTCCATTTTCTTTATCAAATCTTTCTACCTCTATCTGTTATGCTTCTCTGTCAGGCTTCCCCAATTTTCCATACTGTCAAGTAAACATCTAAATAGGATAGTTCTAGCTATTGCTGTTGTTTTGAAATGTTGACTTTTCTTGGGGAAATATTGTTTCAATTCTGACAGAAGTTTTAAGCCAATATCATTCAATTTATCAATATCCAAACGCAGGGTTTCAGAAAGTATGCATTTTGTTTGTGCCTGTTTTTTCATCATGTGTACTTATTAAGACAGCTATATTTAAACGTAAATACATTAAAACATGATACATATAATCTTTTGACAATTTCTTCAGTAAAGTGGCCATTTTGAGAAATGATATATAGCTTGTACCTTTGTTTGATGCTCAAGAAGATGTTCGACTGGATTTGCCTTTGTCTAATTCATATATATACCAAATACGAGAATCAGAATCTTATTCTACAAAACGGATGTTCATGGAAGTAGCACTAATTATTGCATCATTGCTATAAATCGTGTGATTTGATTGGCTAATTCAGAACCATGTGACTAAAAATACCAGCGTATTTCACAGCTCACTGAATTATTTCCATATTTAAAAGACGTATTGTCCAGCGTATTGCCCGCCTGGGGATTCTGACAACTGCACTTTCAATGATTTTTGCAACATGTATTACTATCGCCCTACGGGCTGCGGGCAATACATATTGCAAAAATCATTGAAAGATGAACAGGTATTGCCCTCCATAGAATGAAATATTTGCTTAACATTTCTACTGTTTCGGGCTTAATATCAATTTTGTTATAAACTGAACAAAGCGGCACCTTTAACATGCAGCTAATTCTCCCATCTAACCAAGAGAGCCTCTTTTAATATATCGAAATTTAAAATTGCCTCTGATTCAATTTGTTCAATCAAATCTAAAATGGTAATACCTTTTTACTGCTTCGAACTTCCTTATATTTTATACCATTGGGGTAGGATGTTTGTCTCTTTCAATTAATGCTTTCACCAGAAACATGGATATCACTAATTTTGATTCATATTTAAAATGGTGTGCATGAATAGACCTGTGTATTTTATACCAAATAGAGACACTTCCCTCGAGAGTTCTAAATCTCTATATGTTAACAGCCTAGTTCCCACATCCCTTGTTGACTTTGCTTCCATATTTCCTGTGAAGCCGTGGAACTGTTCTCTTGTTCTTCACAATTTTCCATTTTAATGTAACTCAATGAATAAGGCCAATTCATATCACTGGCTTCCCTAGGTCATTTGAATTCCTTGCAATTTTTAAATCAGCAATAAAGAATAATGGGTTAAATTATCAAATAATGAAAAAGTTGCAAATTATGAGATTTGTTATATAGCTTCGAAATCTTGCTGAAGTGTAGTTTAACTATAGGTTAACAGGCTAAATTCTCATTGAGATAATTTTAAAGAATCTTAAACATTGACTTATTGTTTCAGTGGTCCTATTAAAGTTCATGTGTACACAATCTGAACAACATCCAGTTTCAAACACTTCTGATTATCATCAAGTTTCAAACACAATCTGAACATCATCAAATTCAATGCAAATGCAGTTTTACTTTAATCATACAGAACGAATATGGTTAATCAATAGACTAAGTGACACATGTCAAGTCAATGGTAAATACTTGTATCTAGCCCAACTAGCACAAGTGCTGCCATCTACCGACTAGTATCAATCCATCTATCCATATACATAGCACCTAATGAGGTCACAACTTCAAGTAAAGCTTTTTCCCTTGTCTATGGTAAAAATAAGTTAAACAGAAAAGTTAGTTTGACACCATTGGTGATGCCCACCTTGTATGGTATAGGGATAAAAGGAAAGTTCATGATAACACTTACATAAAATAATTTAAGTATCTAATAATGATAATGAACATATTACAATGTTACACAATGTTAGTAAATGATAATTAAATGTAAATTATTGTTAGTGTAATATGTATTTTTTGCTTAATGCTGCAACAATTACACAAGTTCCAAAAAGTGCCACGCCCACTTTTCCCTAAAAGTAGTTGTGTGTGACTATATTTGATAGATATTATTGATTTATTGGAGCATTATATCAACTTTTTAGTGCTTTAGTGTGAATATATACATATTTATACAACTTTTGACAAAGTTGCAGCCACAAAATCCAAACAAAGGACGATTCTCGGTTTGGAGAACAGTCTCCTGGGCTAATAATTTTTTTCATGAAAAATATAGAAATATTGCCCAAATTAAACTATGAATATTCAAAAGAGGACATTTAAATCTACAAGATGTAAAAATAACAAATTGGTCTGAAGCAGGGATAATGCTCAATTAGACCGATTCAATAAAATACGAGTCTCGATTTGGGGAAAGAAGTTCATCAGTGTACTGCGCTAATATTTTTTTGCGAAAAATCTAGAAATATTACCCAAATTAAATTATGACTATTCAAAAGAAGACATTCAAATCTATATTATGTAAAAAAGTCAATTTTGTCCGAAGCAGGGATAATGGTCATTTAGATTGATGATCTTCATTCTCCAAACCGAGAATCGTCCTTTGCAAATATTTCACTTTGAGGGCTAAGGGACATATTTTGGAGGAGGTCAAATTGAGAAGATTTTGAGATATAAATACTGTTTCCATGGTAACCATATAAGTTAGAGATTGGACATTTCTGGCACTGACTAACCATGGTATGCTCTGCCTACTATAAAACTATGAATATATGACATGCATTAGTATTCTTTTTTTTGCAACATATTGACTTCTGT